GGTGATAGAAATGATTCCAGAGATTGCATGATAGAATTTTGCAAGACCAACTACTTCTTCATTGCAAATATCTTTTTTCAACATAAATGGTGACTATACACGTGGACCTCACCAGATGGAATACACAAGAATCAAACTGACTACTGTGAAAAGAGATGATGGAAAAGCTCAATATCATCAGATCATCTAAAAATTTGTGACTACATCATGAAATAACTTTTGTTTAGCATTTATTATATATTGTAGAAATTGCAACCCAGATTTGTTCTCCAAGAAAACAGTTACCAGAAAAAAAAGAGAATGTTAAATTCAAAGAAAATTATTGATTTAAATTATTTGCTTTCAACTAGTGTTCATATATCTAGAATATTAAGAATCACATTTAATACTGGTTCTCATTTAAGAATTTGCCATTATTTGTTCTTCTCTTTCTTCCTCCATACCACTTTCTCTTCCCACCAGTAAAATCAGAGCTTTGTTCCCATGGTAGCTTTATTCCTCAAAAAAAAAAACCAAAAACTAGTTTCTTTCCATTGAATTTATTCAATGATATTTATAATAATTTGAATGTATATTTTCCTACTTTAAATAATTTAACAGAAAATAAATTTGATTTCCTTTAAGTGTACTTATATGTAAGGTAATCCTGGCATCAGTACCATTGTCATGATAAGTGCAGTAAACCTTCAGGGACTAGTAAGTGTCTTAGTTATCTAGTGCTGCTATAACAGAAATACCACAAGTGGATGGCTTTGACAAACAAAAATTTATTCTCTCACAGTTTAGGAGACTAGAAGTCAAAATTCAGGGTGCCAACTCCAGGGGAAGGCTTTCTCTCTCTGTCAGTTCCAGGGCAAGGTCCTTGTCATCAATCGTTCCCTGGTCTAGGAGCTTCTTAACGCAGGGACCCCAGATCCAAAGTATGCAATCCACTCCTGGTGCTTCTTTCTTGGTGACATGAAGTCCCACTCCTCTCTGCTCACTTCTATTGTACCTCAAAAGAGATTGAGTCAAGATACAACCTAATCCTGTAGATTGAGTCCTGCTTCATTAACATAACTGCCTCTAATCTTGCTTCATTAACAGCATAGAGTTAGTATTTACAACATATAGGATAATAACATCAGATCACAAAATGGAGGACAACCACACACTACTGGGAATCATAGCCTAGCCAAGTTGACATACATTTTTGGGGGACACAATTCAATCCATATCAATAAGTGTATGCTAGGCCTTTGAGAACCTCAGTACTACCATATAGATTATTTTACCTATTACCCAAATCTGAAAAATTAATCACAAATTAACTTGTGGTATGTGTTCATTCTATTTCTCCTCCAAGAACTTATGTGTTTAATTAAGGCAATAGGGGTATTAGTGCTATGATGATTTCTGATAGCACTTCTATAATTCTTCAAACCAAGTTTGAATTTCCCTGTTTTATTTTTGTGTTTAAATTATGCAACTATGGCTTTTTTGTAAATAAGAAAAATTTCAATAACTTTAGGACAAATTATCATGCAGAGATAATTCAATGTTTGAACACGGCTCTTGATTTTGGCAATTTCAAAATTTTGTTAATGCTAGATAGTCTTGAGAAATATTTTTAAGCATGGATTTGCCAAGCCAATATTCTGAAGTCAATTTTCTTGGCCATATCATACAAACCAACAGACAATTCACAACTGCAAATTTTGAACTCAAATGGAGACAAAAATCAATAGCAATGCCATTACTGGGTCTCAAAACATGAGTCACAGATTTTCAGTTCTTCCTATTTATGTTTAGATACCAAGAGAATACATTCATTAAAAATATCTCAAGTACGTCTATGCAAATTAGTATCTTAAATTATTCATAAATTTCTTCCTGCAGTTTTATAAGCTTTGAGTGTTTTTTCTCTCCATTTGGTTTCTAATTCCTGAAAGTACTCAAGGTGCTAATTCTATGTAAGACTCTACTTTCAATTTCAGTTTAAGGAACACATAAATTATTCATTGTCTAACATTTATAAAATGTTTCTCAATTTTGGCAGATTCAGAATCTTTTGGTTTTATTAACTGGATAAATCACTTAACCCAAAAGTGATTTCCTCACAGTAAGGTTTGGCTTCATATATTATGATAGTTTATCAGACCACTACTATTTTCACAGAGAAAATTTGAGTAAAATCTGGTTTCAAGTTAGTTTTATTTTGAATAATTTTTAGCCATAATTTTACTGCCATGTATTTGAACGTCCTGCGTTGGAGTATTACAAATTTAAAGTGCGTAGGAACTAATGGTATGGAGAGAAAGACAGATGTATTTCTCAACACTAAACTTTTTCATGTTTTGTGTTATGTTTCCAAGTTTGGAGGTCACTAGTTATACTCTTTATGTTGTATTGATGTTAGCTACTGTGGAGTTTGGTCCCCCATCTCATGGAAACCCCAAACACAATAGGATCTGGCAATTGGGATCCATGAGGTTTTCATTGACTGATTTTTCTGAAGTAGATTGCCAGGCTTTTCTTCCTTCTCTGCCTTCGTCCTTATACCTGTAGGAAAATACATTTGATAGAAGATTATTATATTGTTGTATTATGTTGTTATTTGGCAAAACAACCTATCACAGAGAAAATGGAACAGGTCTTGGTTAGTAAAACCTGAATGCAATGCCTGGCTCAGATGCTTATCAGTCATGTGACTTTGGATAACTAACTTCCTGAGCAGCAATTTTTATAGTTGCTAGGATCAGGCTAGATATGTAAAAAGGCTTCTATCTGGCATATTCACTTAAAATAATGTCCTTTATTACTCATTTAGTGCATTTGGAAGCAGGTTACTATGAAATAAAAGGTATATTATATACATTTTCTCACACATTTTACTTTGGAGTATGTGAAAAAGTAGATGGAAGGAATCAGATTGAATAAGAAACCACATGTCTATTCTGTTCCTCCTTCACAGTGTAACATCCCCACCATCTTAGCACAGTGACTGACTAGACATTTCAAGAGCATTATTAATGTTAACATTTGTCCTTAAAAAATAGAACAGCAAATTCTATACCCCAGTTAGTTATTTTAGTTTTAATAATCTTTTAATCCACTTAGAATATCCCCTAAAGTTTTAAAAATCCTGACTTTAAGACGTGTATAGATTTTTTTATGCCTGCTTTGCTTATATTTTGCAAACGGTTTGTACACAACCACGATCAAAAAAGTTTGGCAGTTCTAATATACCTAGTAGGCACCGTGGAAGAAAGGCCTGACCATCTACTTCCGTTAGATTATAGGCGTTGAAAACCTTATGGAGTGCAGTTCTACTCTGAAACACGGGGACACCATTAGTCGGAATAGACTCAATGGCAATCGGTTTGGCTTTGGGTCTCAACTAGATCTTACCAATCTAGTTGGATTTCCTGCTACAGTTTTTTCTCATTCTGATTTGTAGAACTTTTAACTATGAATGAAAGTATCTTCAGGATTAGTTGACTTGGAATTCTAGCCACACCTCTTTTTAGTCTAATTGTAAAACTTTTAAACCCAAAAAACCAAACCCTTTGCTGTCGAGTCGATTCCAACTTATAGAGACCATATAGGACAGAGTAGAACTGCCCCATAGGGTTTCCAAGGAGCGGCTAGTGGATTCAAACTGCTGATCTTTTGGTTAACAGCCATAGCTCTTAACCAACCACTTTACCACAAGGGCCCCTGTAAAACTCTAACACGTTTATTTTGTACAGAATCGTCACGAAAAAAATCAACTATTAAAATAAATCAAAACAATATGCATAAAGGGATTATATATATTTTATGTAGTGTATGTTATCTTCATAAATATATTTTTTGTGATTAGATAATAATTCCATTAAGTGAATACAAAATATGACTACAGGTCTTCTTTGATTTTTCAATATGTAGTCTTTATTTTCTATTCTTATATATGAACACTCATGTTTATGTATTCACATATGCACAGAAATACACATTTTTGCCAGTATAAATCAATGATTGCTACATTTTTCTACACTTTAATGATTGTTGTTATCTGATAGCTGAGTGAAAACTTTAGTGGATATACCTTCAAATGAAGAATTACTCTTATGGCTGCTATTTATTTGAAAGTAGGGATTTCTTTATTGTAATATAAATATTGTGTTTGTTGGATGGATGAATGAAAGAATGCATGAATAACATGCCTTCTGTTTTTCTACATTTCATTTTTTGACATGTTGTTTTATTTCATAAATACTCTAGATTTTCTTTCTGCATTACATTTCCTTCCATGTTGTATTTCAACAAGATTACTAAAATAAGAATGCTTCTTGTATGAAACTGTTTTAATATGGCTTCAAAAGATAATTTATAAAATTCTAATTAGAATAGTTTTGCGTACAAGTCTAAGTGGAAAAATTGAAAGATATGATCCATTCATGTACACATTAATTAATTAAATATTTACTTACCACTAACTTTTACTTTTTATGAATTTCTGTTGACCTGATGCTGTAGGTATAATGGTCATTAAAAAAGAGAAAACATCACTATTCACATTGAGCTTGCAGTTTGGTATGGGCAAAAAAAGATTAATAATAGATAACAGTATAAATAAATGTAAGTATAAATGTAGCATTCCAGTCCATGCTATGAAGCAGATGACATGGTACAGTAATCAGGCAGGTCTCGGAAGACTTTTGAAGAAATTGATGTTTGAGTTGAAATATGAAAAACAGTTATGAGAAAATTAGGAAACAATGGCCTAATTTCAGATAGAAAATATTAGGTACAAAGGTTATTCTGGTAGAATTTAGAATTTATCTTTGAGATTTCTATAGTTAGCTAAATTTTTTTTTACAATAAAAATTTTATTACAAACATAAGCACATGAATATATAGATACCTAAAATGTCTTATTTTTGTTCTGTTATTATGAATGGTATTGCTGTTATTATTAATAATAGTATTGTCTTTATCTATCTATGTACTACTATAAATCAACAATTTAATTTTAGATACTTGTTCTGGACTGAATGGGGACAGCTGCCCTGCATTGGAAAGGCTCGCTTAGATGGCTCAGAGAAGGTTGTCCTTGTAAGCATGGGAATGGCATGGCCGAATGGCATCTCCATTGACTATGAGGTCTGTTAAATTTCTTTTCTTAAATATTTAAAGTTCATTAACTGCCAACTTGCATTATTTCACTTTTAGTGTCCTCTTATTTTCTTAATAAAAAACTTGATCAAAATCAGCCTGTAATATTATTTTTCAATCGATATTTAGGAAAATAAATTGTACTGGTGTGATGCTCGCACAGACAAGATAGAAAGAATTGACCTTGAGACTGGAGGGAGTCGCGAGATGGTTCTGTCAGGGAGCAATGTGGATATGTTTTCAGTTGCAGTCTTTGGGGCTTACATCTACTGGTCTGACAGGTAATTTATTTTTTCATAAGTATTTGAGTCTCCAAATGTTATTTCAGTGTCAGTTGCTTTACCCTTGTAGGATTAGCCATTCCTTAGCAAGGTCACAAAAAAAATTTCAAAAAGCCACGTAATTTCCACAGAAAAGGCAGACACTCTTGCTGTTCCAGGCTCAAGCATTTCAATTGCACTGACTAAAGCTGGTTTCTTTCCTTTCTTTTGGGTCATCTGTTATCATCAGCTTAAATAGCTGACTTGGTTTTAATTAGTGGAGGGTTATCGATCATGTTTAACTTTTTTGACAGAGCTCATGCGAATGGGTCCATCAGAAGGGGCCACAAGAATGATGCCACAGAAACAGTGACCATGAGAAATGGCCTTGGAGTCAACCTCAAGGAAGTTAAAATCTTTAATCGAGTAAGAGAGAAAGGTCAGCATTTGTAATATACTTTATGTTTTCTCTCTCTCTTCTCTCATTTTTTTAACATTTATAAACTTTGTTAGGGATTTATTCTCATCTGATTCCAAAACCTACTCTTTTTACATCTAACCTCCCACTAAATGCATATAGCAGTCTACTGGAAGGAATGTATGGTGGTTTGTAATATGCATATTTGCCTAAAACGACAGATGTGCATGGACATGTTACATACTTGCCATGTCTTGAGTATAGGATTGGGATTAGTAATATAGGAAAACTTGATAAATATGCAGATACCAGAAAAAATACAAAGTGCACTTAGGATATTAAAGAGTACAAAGACGGAGAAATCTTTCTTTTGGGTTATATTTTAATATGTAAAGTGATTATGGCCCTGGAAGGTGCTACTTTTAGAATGAAATATGTCCAAAATACACTTCCTTAAAGTGCTTTTTTTTTTTTTTTTAATGGTATGACAGTGGTTTGGATATCTTCATTTATTTTACTTCCATTAAGATAAATTGAAATTAATTTTATTGACATCAACAGAAGGTACAATGATTTTGGAGATGGTAATGATCAACTCATAGAAGGTAATTAACCTGATAAAACTTCAGCGCATATAACATCTTCACTAAAAACTGGAGTAAAAATATATGCCCGTCTAATCTTTGGACAGGCCCATAAAACAAAATGAGACTAAATGGGCACACCAGCCCAGGGGCAAGGACTAGAAGGCAGAAGGGGACAGGAAAGCTGGTAATGGGGAACCCAAGGTCACGAAGGGGAGAGTGTTGATATGTCATGGGGTTGGCAACCAGTGCCACAAAACAGTGTGTGTATTAATTAATGAGAAACTAGTTTGTTCTGTAAAACTTCATGTAAAGTACAACAACAACAACAAAAAAAAAAGATTGGAAAAATGTGTATGTATGCCCAATATAGACATATTGAAGTAACAAATTTCTTTGATTTCTTAGATATTGACACAGGGTTTAAAGTAGTGCATGTTCCTTGGTGAATTCAGTTCATGTTCTGAGTGAATCAGTTACATGTGCCAAATATAACAAAATATAAAACCTATTGTAATTTCTGTATCTAGTTTCAGAAAAGAGTTATATACTTAGCTGGCTGATTAAGGGAAAATGTTAACGTTTTTATTTGAATGATGACGGAAGCAGAAGAATATGAAGTTTGAAATAAGAAATCTAAGATTTTAAACTGGAGTGATAAAAAAATAGGTATTTTACACTATTTGATTTTTTATTAGCAAGCCTTAAAATTAAGAATAAAAGAGAATATTCTGCATTCAATTTTTAATATTTCTATTAGAAAAAGACTATTATTTGAAAAATTAAAAGAAGAATATAAACCTGTGTGTATGTATGTGTGTATTTCTTTATATGGATGTATATGCAGATATGTATGCATGCATGTGTGTCTATTTATTTTTCTTCCTTAGGGACCAATGTTTGTGCCAAGGACAATGGTGGCTGTCAGCAACTTTGTCTTTATCGAGGAAATTCCCAGAGAACTTGTGCTTGTGCCCATGGATATTTGGCAGAGGATGGAGTTACTTGCCTAAGGCATGAAGGCTATTTGCTGTATTCAGGGAGAACAATATTGAAAAGTATACATCTTTCTGACGAAACCAATTTAAATTCACCAGTAAGGCCATATGAGAATCCACATTATTTCAAGAATGTGATAGCGTTGGCTTTTGACTATAATCAAAGAAGAAAAGGTACCAACCGAATCTTTTATAGTGACGCACACTATGGAAATATACAACTTATTAATGATAACTGGGAAGACAGACGAGTGATTGTTGAAAGTAAGTAGCAATTTACTTTTACTTAGCTTGATGGAAACAAATATCATTTGGATTATTAAAGAAATTATAGTGGTAATTGCATGTAGCGATTACAATTTTCTAGAATTTATACTCAAGACTGAATGCAACTATGTCATCTGAACCTTCAAAAGTCAAAGAAGCAATTAACTGCTGGTATGTATAGCATATGTATTATGATCATTAGCTACTAAGCACAGAACTTTCAATCTGTTTCATCGTAATATTTCTTACAAATAAGCATATTAAAATTCATGGAAAATAATTTTTCAGTATAAAATTATACTTATACTAATGAATTTTTTTCCAATGAGTAGAATTATACCTTTAAAAATATCTGTCTAATAATATTCAGTTGATTGTATTTTCTCAAACAAATATCAGAGATTATTTTTAAAACATTTTGGGCTGAAATATAAGTCTTTTTAAGAAAATGCTATTATAGGAATAATCTAATGTTTAATGGGAAGTAATCATTCAAACATAATATTCAGTTTGGGTTTTCCACATAATTCAGAGAAATCTCTTTTCTGGCATCCAACTTTTACAAGGACTGTCTCTTCAGTCTTCGTACAACTTCTGTCTTTTCTCTATCTCTGTGATTTTCATATATCCCCACATTCCCAATTTCACTATACTGAGGTCAATCTTTTTTTTAATTGCAAAATAACATGTAAAGGTATACTTTTTGTAAAGTGTTCAAATAATATGGATTTAAAAATGAAATTCCTTTCTCATTACAAGCACCAATCCCATTTACTTACCCACAGTTGACATCTATTGTGCCTCTGGGATATTCTTTATTTATGTGTGTGTATAGATTTTAATTACAGAAATGGAATTGTAGTATATGTCTTATTAAGCTAACTGCCTGATTTCACTTGCAATGTATCTTGGAAAGCTTTCATTTCAGCACGTAAGACTCCATTTTATTTTATCTTTTTAAAGCCTGCACAGAATTCTATACTACGGGTAAACTAATTTATTTAACCATTTCCTTGTAGATGAGCATTTAGTTTCTTTCTGGTATCTCATGATTACATATAGTGGTGCTACAAACATGTGTGCATAAAAAAGAGTTTATTTACACATGTGAGTATTTGTACACCTAGAAGTAGAATTGCAAAGTCAATCCATGTGTGTATTTAAACTTTTATAGCAGGTCAAATTTCCCTCCAAAAAGGCAATCTCAAATTACATTTTCACTACTGTCTATGAAAAGGCTTATATTTTCACACTCTTGCCAACAATAATTTTATATTCTTATTAGCTTATGACTAATTTGCAAAAAATGATGCATTATATTGATATGCATTTCCCTGATAACTGTTGAGACACAACATCAACTCCTGTGTTTACTCACATAAAAATATATATCTTTGGTCAAACCTCATTGCTTATTGTCATTCTATGTTTATGCCAGCCACTTTCATATTGTTCTTTCAACATTTAATATCCTTCACATTCGTCTTTGCGTATTAAAAAAATCCAGCTTTCTAAATTAGTTCTAGCTTATACTTTACAAATACACACTTAATTTTTTTTATTCTTTAGGTTACAACACTTATCAACAATTTATGCAAATTTGTATATTCCAGCCTGTGCCATTTTGGCTTCAAAGTATATGTGTGTGTGTGTGTGTCTGTGTGTCTGTGTGTCTGTGTGTATACATAAAAGCATAAATTACAGTACTGAACATAGAGTTCATATATATTTGAGATTTATTGATTCCTTCGTATATCTCTATGAAGTTTAATTTTAATACTCTTTGCATTAAAATGTTGTGTGCTGTCAATTCTGACTCAGCGACCCTAAATAACTTGCTCCCTCCTGTTCCCAGACTGATGGAATTCAGAGTTGGAAGTGTTCACTTTGGAATAAAAAGGAGAATTAGGTTTTTGTACTCCTTTTTTGTATTTCATTCAAGGATCATAGACAATTAAAACTAAGGAGAGTTGTATCTACAATATATTAATTAACTTATGCATTACTTTCCTATACTTCAGGTTTTTGTTAGACACTCTCTATATAAAGAAGAGTAAGAATCTATACTCCTTTAGAATCTGTAGTTTAAAGAAGGATACTACAAGTAAACCAACATTGAAATACAACACAATATGCTGGAGGCCTAGAGTGTGAAAATCTGCCTGGGGAGGGAGAAGGGCCTTATGAAAATTTTAGTGGAAGAAGCTACACAGAGCTGAGTTGAGGAAATTTAAAGGGTGAATAGGATTCTGTCAGTTGGCACTAGTCAAGGCCATGGCACCAAACTAAACTAATAATAGTTGTATTTTCATTGTTACATGATAGCAGAAAAAAGAGCCAGTTTCACTTAAGAACGTCCCCGAGGAAAGGGTCAAAATGGATTAATTGTATTAAATCCTGACCCTTCGGTGCCTCTCTGTTTAATATTCCTTGTGATGAAATGAAAGATACACATCAAGTACTTCTGTTGAATCCTGAAGTATAATGTTTGCCTGAAGGAAAGCATGTATTCGCGTGATTGTTTGAGTTGCAAATTGAACTAGCCGCTATCTTCAAGGAAAATCATTTTTTACTTGAAAGAATGAGGAAGAGACAGACTATGGCTATTCAAACCTGGGTGTTTGGCAGACATTTTCTAAAACATGAATAAAACGAGCCTGCCACTTCAAGGAAAATGACTTACACTATTTGTTGCAAATATAAAGCTGGAGCTTTCAAGTGAAGATTAACATTTTAGAGGACTTGTATCCACCACAGTGAGCGTGAGAGCTTCTCGATACTTAGAGACTTTTATGATGAGATGGGTGGTGATATTAACTAATGTCATTTTTAGATATTGTATAACGAACTATGTCAACATTTTGAAGATATGCATAGCTCATGGAACCAAGATTTTTCATATGATGTAAAAAAATCCTCTAGGGGTAAATGATTCATTCAATGTGCAAGATAGACCAATGAATTTTAATGTAATAGAGTAAGAAAAGTTCATCACTATGGTTTCAGATTCCACACTACAACCAACCTTTAAGTATCTACCACTTGTCACATGTTGATGTAGTATGAAGAAGAATATCCACAATTTTTTCAAGTCTATTAAAACACTCTTTTCTTTTCCAACTACATACCTGTGTATAGCTGTGTTTTTGGCATATACTTCAACCAAAACAACACAACATGTAGAATTAAGAAGCAGATATGAGAATCCAGCTGTCTTATAGGAAGCCAGACATTAAACAGATTTACAAAATTTGGAAACGTTCAGGGAACTGGGTTCAGTTCTAGACCAAGGCACTGCATGCACAGCCACCACCTGTCTGTCAGTGGAGGCTTGTATGTTGCTGTGATGCTGGACAGATTTCAGTGGAGCTTCCAGGCTAAGAGGGATTAGGAAGAATGGCCTGGAGGTGTACTTCTGAAAATCATCCAATGATAACCCTATGGATGACAATGGTCTGATCCCCAGTCGTTCATGGGACTGGCGAAGGATAGAGCAATGTTTTATGGTTCAAGGGTTTGCTGTGAGTTGGACCACCTTGAAGGCAGCTACCAAAAACAACAATAGCTATCTACTCATTATTTTTTTTAAATAGAGTTTATTTTCATAAAAGATGCAATGGATTCATTATTTTATTTTAAAATATATGAATAAGTATTTTAAAATTATTTTAGTTTAAATTTCTGGCATAGTAAATAACTACAGACATTATTCACATGAACAAAATATCTTTACAGTATTCAATAATTTTTAAAATTGATATGAAAAAGCACAAGGTAGACAAGTAACCACACGTTACTTGGTATGATTAGGAAATGAGTTGTATGGCATGAATTGGTGTGAGATGAAACTGGACTGGTAGGGTAGAACCTGATATTTAAAGATCTGTTCCGCCAAGATAAAGGGTTTTCATTTTATTCAATAGATAGGGGAAAATAAAGCTGTATTGTAAGTATGGCAGATAAGTAATAAGATTTGTGTTTTATGAAGTTCACTTTGACTGTGTTGTGTTTGATGAAATGTAAGAGCCATGACTGGAGGCAGAGATGCTGTAAGAGGTTGGTGCAATAATTCTGATCTTGTTTCAACAGCAGCTGGTTATACTGAAAATGTATTTATCAAAGTATAGACACAACCAAACCATTCTAATCCTCCTATCTAAAATCAAACCAAGTAAAATTAATAATATTTTATTGACTGTAAGTATTAACTAACAAGTATAAGGAGGTGTTTTCAATCGCCTCATACGCATGTGAAAACTGGACAATGAATAAGGATGACTGAAGAAGAATTGATGCCTTTGCATTATGGTGTTGGTGAAAGATATTGAATATTCCATGGGCTGCCAAAAGAATGAACAAATCTGTCTTGGAAGAAGTACAGTTAGAATGCTCCTTAGAAGCAAGGATGGTGATATTTTGTCTCATGTACTTTGGACATATTATCACAAGGGACCAGTCCCTGGAGAAGGGCATCATGCTTGGAAAAGTAGAAGATCAACAAAAAGAGGAAGACCCTCAATGAGATGGATTGACACAGTGGCTGTAACAATGGACTCAAGCATAACAACAATTACGAGGATGGTGCAGGACTGGGCAGTGTTTCATTCTGTTGTACGTAGGATTGCTGTGAATCAGAATCAACCTGATGACACCTAACAACAACAACATAGGGAGGAAATAAAATACAATGGCTAAGATTTCGGAATCAGTCAGTCTGGGATTCAAATCCCAGTTCTTTATTTTCTGTACGATCCTATGTGTCAATTTTCTCACCTAAAAAATGGGAAACCAACTCATAAATTTTTTGTGAAAATTTTATGGGAAAGATATGTGAAGAATTTACCAATAAGCATAATTTATTTAATTTAAAACTTTATATCACTGTATTTGTGTCATATTTATGGATCATTTAGGCTAATTATCTTTGTCTAAATTATGTTTAGCATATGCAATAAAGTAGTTAAACAATCAGAAGTAATTACAATAATTAGAGGCAT